CTGACAAGTTAAGCAGATACCACCACATGGACTACACGGAACTGCCAATGGGATCTCAAAGCACCTTCCATCGGCTACGGACTCCCATCCTTCCACCCATTCCCTCCCATCCTGCCCACAACCTTGGGCAGCTCCGTCTGCATGGCTCGCACAAGCGTCTCTTTTCTTTCTCCCAGGCCCGATAGGACCACCGTGGCCTGCTCTCCGTCCGTTGTCGTCACTTCCTGTGTTGCCGCCGCCCCGGCGCCGTAGCCGTACAGAGGCTGTTGCCCACGGAGGCGCATGACGAAATTCAGGTCATCGACCGTCAAGGAATGGCGTTTGCTTTGATTTTGCAGTTTGATCGCGTCCTCCAATATCTCGCGGAGGTGATATTCGACTGTGGTGGCGACAAAAGATGCGGCCTCTTGATCGATCTGATGCGAGGGAGGAACGGGAAAAGGAAGGTGAATAAGACCGTGGGGGGGGGCTGAGGGGGAGAGAGGAGGTTCGATGACAACATTGAAATCCAACATTAAGAGCGGTTGCGTAAGCATGTACCGATCTTTGCCAGACCGAAACATATGCTTACCTCCGGGAGTTCCAATTTTTTTGCCGCAGCTTGTATAGCCTGGGGAGAGATGAGTCCTGTTGGCCCGAGCACGGGGACCTTACTGACCGGGAGGGTCCGCTTACTCTTCTTAGCCGGACCCGTCGTAGCCATAAATGTACGATTAGCGTTGCTGCTGGTGATGATCAGGGTGCTTTGGACGCTTCCGTCCTTCGCGCGCACGCACCCTAGAGCGCACAGGAATGTAGCACGTAGATCAAAGTAGAGAAGAGGAGGAGAGTAGTCATGAGAAGCCGATGAAGTCCTGCTCATCCTTGCCCGTGCACCACGATAGAACATGTCACGCGTCGGCACTACCACAGTATTTTCAAATACGACACCTGGCATATATACCGGTCGACGAGGCTCTTTCAGGGGATGACTGTGGGGTTCTTTCAGGGGATGACAGTGGCCGTGAGAGAGGAAAAGGCTGAAGCCCGTCGCCCCAGTTGCTTCATATCGCCTGATGATACGCAAGGAGTACCGACCTTTATTTTCTGGACTGTCGGCACACACACACACACACACACACACACACATACGAAGTAAATTTATCCCTGAGACCAACAATATTGTTCCCATTATCCTTTACTTGCTGACTTCATCCTCTCCTTCGCATGGTCACAGGAGGAGCGGCGGAGTCACGAACGAGGAGGCCTTCCTCATTACACTCCATTTGCTTCCTGTCTCCCCGACCTTGTCGCATGCCACGTAGTCGCAGCCGAAGCCGTAGCCGTAGCTTACATCGACAGCGGAAGAGGAGCGGGAGTCGGAGCAGATATGGCACTTCTTCCCCATTATCCTCGTCACGATACCACAGTCCCCATCGGGGGGGGGACCAGAAAGGTCAAAGCCGCAGGAGGAGACGAAGCCAAGAGAGTGAGGAAGGGGACAGAGATCGTAGAAGGAGGCATCGAGGTTTAGAAAGGGAAGAATCCCCTGCGCCAGGAGGGGGGAACCAGGCTCAGGGGCAAAGGTCACGGTGGGAAAAGGGCCGAGGAAGGCAGGAGGGCCTCTCAGGCGGGGAGAACGGAGGGAACGGGCGCTACGAAGAGGAGAGGAGGGATATCAGCCTGCAGGAGCGTGAAAGGGACGGTCGTGGCGCACGACTCAGGAAAAGCACCGAGGCAAGAGCCCAGGCAGGCGCAGGGAGAGAGCGCGAGGCTTTAGTCCCGGGCGGAGAGCCGTCCCGTGGGCAAGAAGAACGCTAGTAAGTGCAGGGCCGGAGAGGGGGGGTATAGGGGGGTATTGTGGCACTAACTGGAGTGGAGGGGGGAAAGTAAAAGGCGGAGGCGGGAAGCTACCGTGCGTGCAGCAGAGGCCTAGGTCCCCGTGGACATCGGTCTTGTCGTTATCTTTTCCCCTTAATAACGCTTTTCCATCGGTGCCAACCCTATCCTTGACCCTATTCCCTAACCCCAATTCTTTTTCCCGCCAGTGAATGGGGCAAGCCCGCCATCTCCCCGTTGAACGGCGATGCGTCAAGCAGAGGGGAGGACGGAGGAAAGGGGGAGGAGAAAGCACCGACCTTGGTGGCCAAACCCAATTTCGGCCTGACTGGCGCGCTGGCACAAGATGCTCAGACGGGGAACGTGTACAAGGGCGTGGTGTTGAAGTGGAGCGAGCCGGACGACGCCCGCCTCCCCTCGCGGGGCTGGCGGTTGTACGTGTTCAAACAGGGGGAGTTGAAGGACACCCTTCACTTGCACCGTCAGAGCGCCTACCTGGTGGGGCGGCACGGTGTGGCCGATCTGAAGGTGGAACATCCTTCCTGTTCCAAGCAGCACGCCGTCCTCCAGTTCCGCCAAAAGCATGAGGGGGCCGAGGTGAAACCCTACCTGATGGATCTGGAGTCCGTGAACAAGACCAGGCTGAATGGGGAGGAGGTTCCCCCCGCCCGGTACGTGGAACTGCGGGCGCAGGACACGATCCAATTCGGCCTTTCCTCGCGGGAATACGTGCTTATGCACGAGAGCCTGGTCGGGTCGAGCTAATGGACAGACGCAGAGGAGGTTGGGGAGGAACGAGGGGAGGGTCTGGGGGGGGGAACGGTCGCCCTGAACCGGGTGGACACGAAAGGGAAAAGAAAGAAACGGTTGAGCTTACGGTTCGTGCGTTCTCTTTCCAGATGCGTGCACCCGGAGGCGGGCACGACAGATGGTGCTTTTACTCTCAAGTATGAACCGGGAGGGTCTCTACCTCCTCGTCCGCACGCAGGCCGGTCGAGCCGTCGGCTTACGCACATCCTTCCCTGCAGGGGATACCTTCTGCCCCCCTTCCCGTACAGCTTTTCTCCCCAGGGCGCCACTTTTTGTTCCCACCTTGTCCCCGTTCCTCGACGTTGCCCTCTCCTCGCTTCTCATGCCGGCCTCACGTCTTCTTCCCTCCCCTCCACCTCCCCCCCAACCTCACTCCTTCCCCCTATCCCAATTTGTCCGGGTATCCTTCTCGTTTTCCACCGCCCGCAGGCTCGGTCCAGTCGCCGCGACGGCGGTGGTCCCGCCATCCACCGGGCGGAGATCCCAGCTCTCAAACGCCTGCCATTGTGCCACAGAATCCCTCCGCTTACCCCCATTTTCCTTTTTTCCCTCGGCGGGGGTCGGAGGGAAAGGCTTCGCGGGCGAATCTCTCAAGGCACTGTCGTTCCTCAGGTTGCACGTTGCCATGGACTTGCCTGGATCCAGACACTCGTTCTCGTCGTCACCTTCCGTCCCCGTGCTGCCTGAGAGCCTCTCCTTCTCCCTCTGGAGTCTCTCTACCTCTTCCAAGAAGGCGACTTCGCTTACCAGAGGGCAGGGGGCACACAGCTGACAGGCCGTTAGCACGCCCATCTTCCGGCCATCTGACCCGGATGTGCCGGAGGAAGACGTGGGGACAGGGTCGGGAAAGTGAGGAAAGCGCTGGAGGATCCGGTGGCGCTGTCGCTTCCTCCACCACCACAAAGAGGGCCACAGGCAGGGCAACGGGCACGCCATGGCCACGACGGCCGCGGAAAGACAGGTTTTCCACCCATCCATGTCTAAGCCGTTACACGGCGACTTGCCCCTGTTACCTGCATTCATCGGGCTTCGCGCCAGTAGACTTGCGGCACGTGCAAGGAGAAGGCAGGGGAAGCAGGCCCCCAGGAAAAGGGAGAGAGGGCGCTGTACCCAGGGCGGCCGTTCCCTTCCGCGCTCAACCCGATTTTCCCTAGAGGGGCCATTTTCCCTGCTTCCACCCGCTCTCCGCGCAGGATAAATATTCTTTGCTCTTCCACGTAGTAGTGAAATTGCTGATTCTTCGTCGTTGTACTCCTCGCTGTCACTTCCGCTTAACCTATCATGCAAGTCCTTGTCTTTATTGCTCCCTCCTCCGTCCCTGTCTATAGCGATGTTTCGCTCCACCATCTGCAATTCCTGCATCCGCCGCGCTTGCATCAGCTTTTGAGCTGTGAAACTCATTTCCCACTCCATGCTTTGAACCGATACGTCTGAGAAGGGTGCTAAGCTGGCCTCAACCTCTATCGAAGAGGAAGCAAGCCGGGAGGTTAAAACCCTGGACGGCTAAAATCCTGTCGATTTAGCGCGTCGGCCAAAATCTACCTTGTCTTGATGCTCGCGCGAGACGTTCGTTGTCTCAAGCATGGTCTATCGGTGTGTGCATATCAAAGTTTCAATCCATTAAAAAATAAGTGTGAGTCCATGTTCCGTTCGCAAAGAGCACTCGCTGAACACTCATCAAGATGCACGTAGTCAAGACGCGCCAGGTAATTGAAGGGAATAAAGCATGTGCTTTCTTCCGCCCAGGAGGAAATGCCATACCATTGTGCCCAGGTAGTATAAGTCCTGTCCATGCGCAGGCTACTGCTTGAGAAGGGACTCCTTACCTTCACGACGACCCACACGGTCTCACTAGCATTCTTTTCCGCTTGCCCTCCACTTTGCGTCCGTATGTTGCTAAACATATTGGCTATTCGACAGAGCATGTACAATACTGGCAACAGCGCCACCATGCCTCCGGCATACCAGCAGGAGATACGTAGGGTGGATCCCACCGCGGACTTACCCATGATCGTGGCACGGGTAAGGCTTTTTTCCTCGGCAGTGTGCCTGGCGGTCCTCCCTCTTGAAGTTGTGGGTCTCAGACCACCGCCCGTCTGACACCGCTTTTTTATGTTTGCTCAGGGAGCTATCCGGCTGGCGAAGAAACACTATGTTATTTCATCCATGTGGGTGGCGGGTCTCATCATTTTGACCTTTTTTCGAGGCCTGACTGTCCCGGATGAAAACTTGACGAAATACAATCAAGCTGTCAAGTCGATCGACTTCAATAAGCTCTACAGGCTTCAAAACGATGCATGGGTAGCGGAGGAGCAGTTTCGTCATAGCAAAGGCTGGTTTTC